TGCATCTCTCTTCCTCGCGCTTTTGCTACATCGTCTTGATGTGTCCTCCTCCCGGCGCCGGCAGGACATCCATACAACGCTGTGGCCGAGTCCTTCTGAATCGGAGGCGCCGCTCCCTTCCCCTCTTGTCGCTCGAGCAGCGTGGGCCCCGCGTGGAGCACGTGAAACAGAGTGCAGCACATGGGCGTCCATCCGGATGTTCGGGCACTAGCACCACCGATGAGCGAAAGGTGTTATCGTTACTGTCCGTGAAAGTGCCACACCAACTTTTGTCAACAATTTAATGGAACCGAACGAAAGTGGCAGTGAGGAGATATAACGTTGATGTTTGGCACACAAAGGGAATTTAAAATGGTATATACACAAACAAACTATAGCCCACATAAATTTTAGCGGCACCAACATAAATACATAATCGATTCCTCTACCCACCCTGATGTTAACACAACCATGCAATTAGATGGACGACCCTGACCCCCCAACCCATCCCTCTCCTCTGTCCTCCCTGAGTTGCCAGAACCCAATCCACCCAGATCCGCTCCTTCCCCAGCCGCTCCTCCCCATCAGCGCCCATATTCGTCACCACCATCGCCCGATCTATGCTTTGGTAGGTCACTCTCCAGCCCTCTCCTAGGTTTCGGCGAGTTCGAAGCCTCAGATGCTCCTACCCTTTCTCCACTTCGGGTCTGGCGCCCACCCTCTCCCAGCCTGCCTAGGTCAGAAGGACGTCCAACTTAGACGGCCGGTGCCCTCCTCATCGTCCCCACGCGCGGCTAGCGGCCTTTCTCCCTCCGTCCTTCCTTTCCACCCGGGAGGCGGCTCGATGGGGAGGTCAAAGCTCCACCGGTGGGCCGACGAGGATGAGGATCTCCTCTCCGATGACCCAGATGGCGATTGCCCTCCTTCGTCATACCTGGAGGCCGCTCGCCGAGCCCTAGCTGCTACCCCAACTGCTCCGGCCGGTCCGCTGGATGTTGCGGCGCCAGGCGCGATCGACGCTGCCCGCTGCTGCTGTGGCCCCAACGGACGGCGACGGAGGAGCGATGAGGGTACCCCGCCCATGGCGTCATCGACGGCGCCGTCATCACCAGCGCCGCTATCGGATGTGGCGCAAGGCCCATAATCGATCGGGTGGCCGGTGTCTCAATTGCCGGTCCTGGACACACCGCGTGGCGAGATGCCGCCTCCCATGCCGGTGCCTACGCTGCAATGGTTTGGGCCACCTAGCCATGCCTGTAGGCGTCCACGAAAGGTTCTTGCTCTGGGGGTCGGCGATGGGAGCCGCCAGCGTCATCGCTTGGGCACGTAGGCTGGTCGTCGACTTCAACCACCTGCCCATGTTGGTCTGGCGGAGTCTGGTGGGGCTATGCATGTGTTGTCTGCCGATACGCCTGTCGGCCGAGGCCGTCGGCGCCGAAGCATGAGGCGCCTAAGACGGCCACAGGAAGGCACCAACGCACCCTCCACCGACGCTGCGGCCGACCTCGTCGTGCCAGCCAGCGGGCCTTGCCTTCCTTGGGTTGACCCGATGCTTGAGGAGTTGGTAGCCTCGATCGCCCTCGGCCGGATCGACCCGCAGTCTGCAGTCGAGGTTGTCGTGCACTCCTCCCTGCCTCAGGTTTCCTTCGACGACTGCTTCGACCCCATCGCTTCCGAGATGCAGGCTGTGCCGGCCCATGAGCGATGGGATCCCATGCACTCCGAGGGGTTGGTCGTCAGGGAGAAGCCTTCGGGTGTGGGGGTCCCAGCAGGAGGGGCGCCCCTTCCGGCGCAGTGTGGATCGACTAACTTGGCCGCACGTTGCTCCCCCTGGGTAGGAAGCAGCCGCGGAAGCCTGTGCCGGATTCGGAAGCTGGGGAGCTTGAGCTGTTGCGGCCCAGCCGCGGGTCTTTGACTGATGACGAAGGCTATAACGCTCAACCTCCAGCGGCTGATGTGTCCCTGTTGACACAATTGGAGGCGCGGGTATGCATCCCGCTCGAGACCCCTTTGATCAGTAAGCCGAGGCTGAGGAGGTCCAGGACACCTTCAACGGTGTTGTCGGTGCGTCGGAGTGGGAGGATTGCTGCTAAGGCCAAGGCCTCCAACCCGACTATCCAGGCACAAAATGTGCTGAAGCAGAAGCTAGGGATCGCAGACATGGCGCAGTGTCCAGACCCTCGGCCTTGGACAGTATCAAGGCCTTCTTCACAGAGCCGTTGTTGCCCTCCAAGATGGAGGCCCTTCAGGAGCTCTTATCTCCGGATTTCGATCCGGTGGCCATGGAGCTCAACCTCACTGGCTTTGAGCAGGACACTTTTTAGCCGCTGGGTTCAGGGCCTGCTGTGTTTGTTTATCCCTTTGCTTGGTCCTCTGCGCGGTCGCTTTGTAGTTTATTTAGTAATCACAACTGTGTGAGCTCTGTCGGTGTTTGGTTCGGTAACCATAAATTACCGTCCAAGTTTTAATAATTTGTAATACTCTACTTCTACTTAATGAATACCGTGCCACTGGCATGTTCGAGAAAAAAAGTTAACACAGCCATGCAGATGCAGCCATCGTGGTACGTGCACGGTGCACCAGAGTATCAGACGACAACAGGGAGCGGGCCGAGCGGCCAGCGCTGGTGCGTGGGAACGGATGATGTGCACGGCTGGCGAGCGGGTGCGGGCGCGCTCGATCTTGAGACAGCCCCTGCCCATCCATCATTTGATCATTTCTTTTCGTTTCCCCTGCACTTTCTCCAACGTCACGCCATGCAGTGCCATTTTCTCCTCGCCAAGCTAACCGGCTGGACCGATGGCGAGTGCAACGCCAACTCCTGCTGCCTGCACGCTTTCGTTTGCTTTCAGAGTTGAGACGACGAACACTTCTCTCCAGTCTATTAATACGCACAAACTTTGCAACAAACGAAAATGCCTTATATATTAAGTGTCAAGTTCATCATGTCCATGCATGTCGTCGACGGGTCGATCAGATGGTGCTATGCAACGGAAGAGACGAGTAATAAAATAAAAGTAAAATGGTGAACTGATCCTAGAGTCCAGCTTAAGAATGCCAACTTGGTCACATCGAGGCGATAAAACCGTGATTGGTTAATCCGCTCGATGATACGGACCGGCTGCAAGCTGAGCCACAGCCGCCCATAAAATCTATGCGCAACCCCCGAACCTCGTGCCTCAAGAACGGGGACGACGGATCGAGACATTCATGTGCGGTTGAGTACATGCCTCTGCCCTGCTTCTCGTGCCCTATTATAGCTAGTGTTCGTACGACAGATAGTGCTATGAAATGAAATGAAATACACTGGCTTCAATTTGATTTTCTTTTTTTGGGGACCAGATCTGGCTTGAATTTGTTGCTAGGAAGGATGGTGTGGACCTTAATTTACTTTACACATACACTAATCCCAACTTCCCTGGTTAATCACAAACCTCAGTTCGTTGAAACACAAAGTAAAGGTCGACTATATGTAACGTAGATTATTCCAACCAGCTGCGAGAACAGAGGCAGCAGATGCATACTAAAGATTTGGCTAGTAGGTGCATGTCTTAGCCACTTGACATGAAGAAGAACCTTATGGAGTACGTACACCTCGGTACCTTTATTTATTCTAAAACCACTCCCAATACATTCTGTACTTGTATATATTTTACCCAATGCATGGAATCGTTACACACTGATCTACTAGTTATGTAGCCTTTCTCCTCATCCTTCTACTGTCAGCCACTCAGCCCCCATCGGAACGATGATACAAAGCACATATAGCCAGTACTCTCTGATGCTTCATCATTCTCGTCCCTTACCTATCCATGTCTTCTAAGAGATCACAACAAGCTCAGCATCACCTCTACCGACCTCCTAGTTGTGTTCATCCTCACTCTATACGTTACCAATTGCGAAGCTCGTCGTGATCTCCGTGTTCATGGTAATAAGCACTGCTCAAGCAAGCTGACTTCCTCACCACCCAAGCAGGTAAGCTAATTCACATTTTAACTAAAATCATTCTATCTAGTAGGCCAATAAGTTCTACTATTCTAATTTCTAACAGTTTGCTTTTCATTTTCTCTCTGTTTTCCATAGGCTGTGATAGATGGTGGCCCTGTGATAAGAACATGAGCTCCATGCATACGATCATGCTTGGAGATAGAGGACGAGGAGATCAGCGATGGTGTCCTAACCGAGAAGGAGGCCCGAAGCTCATCCGGTTCGAGTCACCAAGGTGGAGGTCCAAATCAAGTTCAAGCCCATCTCAAGTTCCAGGATCAGTCCGTCATAAAACTAGTTACACGGGCGCATCTGGGCTCCGTTTTTGACGATCCACATATGGATGGAAAGCTAATTAGATAAGGAAGCCAATGCAAGTGGTCTCACGTCAAAAGTCCTTCGGAATCAACGGGACATCGTCGAAACAAGTCAGCGTCCAAAATCTGTCAGGGTACTGCGACACCGTCTTTTGGTCCGTTGGGCCGTGTATCGTCTTAGAGCCCATTAGGGGGTGCGTCCAGGGGGGTGACGTCCGGGGCTCTATAATTAGCAGCCGTCGCTCTTCTTAGAGTTTGAGTTTTGTTTAATTCTTGATTTCCTTGTGAAACAGATGTCGTTTTGCTGCAACTGTGCCGCCAAGGTCGCTTGCTGTGAACCAGGGCCTCAGTTCTTAATCTTGTTCGCCTGTGGCGATTAGTCCTTTCGAATAAAGACTTGAACTCCTTCTCGTTATCATAAGCCTCATATTTATTTGCAATTTTAGATTGCGTTCATCCCATTCTTACTTGTGTTTTCGATTCGTTTGCAGGAAAGCCTTCTCGGCGAGGTCAATCGCGTTCGCGTGGTTGATAACTAACGGAGCAGTGGTGTAACGGTTGCGAGGGTCCGAATCAGTCTTGGTTCGAAGCCTAGATCATAAACGTCGAGTCTCCACCAATCGACGCTATCGTACCTATCGCAAAATCGGGCCTTGTCTACATCACCCTGCCAAGGGGAATATGAGATCTTCATCGGAGATTCCGGTTGGAAGCAAAATGGATGCATCAATGGTCAACGAAGCGGTGATTGTGGCAAAGAAGGAAGTGGCATCATCAGGTGTAGTTAGAAATGCTAGGCGTGTCATTAGGGTTTTGCGACAGCTTCAGCGTCATGGGCATGAGGGTGATCAGGGAATCCATCTGGATTACGCTCAACCTAGAACCCACACCCCACATCACAACCGATGAGAGAATATCATGTATCACTGTGTGACCCTAGTTGTGCAGTTACCTTTCAATATTTCTTCTCTTCTCCCTTTATATATATACGATTTTCATCCATGGCGTCTATGCATGTTTGATAGGATCTCGACCGCCCTTGTGATGAAGTTTGACTTAATGCTTGTTAACCGTAGACATTTGAATATACCTCGAATGACACATGAAAACGAACCATACATGTATTGTTATTGTTAGACACCCATTGATTCATTGAGCATTCCTTCATAGACACAGTTGTCTGATCTGCAGGTGATTCCTATCGTGGTTCTTTGAGAAAAGCAATCGAAGCGATCAAGGTATGCCGCATGTAAATGCGTTTGGCATTGCACAGCATTTTGCAAGGAAGTGAAATAGGAAAGCCTTTTCTATCTTTATATATGTAGGTGAGGTCAGGCATTGGAGAGCGGTCGGTGCTTGGAGCTGATGGTTCCAATAGCGAGCAAGTAGGAAGTAACACGACCGCCGCGTACACCGCCGAAACCCTAGTAGCCATGGACTACCTAGATGCGCACCCGGCACCGGCTGTTCACAACAGGTAGCAGCAGCGGTGCATCTTCAGGCAGACAGGCCACAACAACAGGGGGATTTTGAGGAACTGCTGGGATATCCTAGTCAACGTTGATATACAGCATTGTTAGCAGTTCGGCAACTGCCTGAACTCAGCACATCTTGTGTTGTTGTATAGGAAGATCGAGAACCGAGGATCATGTTCCATTGTTCCATGCTCATAAGAGCAATGGAGGGGGAATTTCAAGTTAATGCAGAGTACAAGTTCACAGCAGCTCTAATTCTTTAATTTCATTCCCCTCTCGTATGTAGTTGCGCTTTTGATTGCTCTTTTGTCGCGCACAGAGTATGCATGATCTTGGTATATCATTTGATGTGATGAAATAACAGTGGAGAATTAGTGTCGGCAGAGCTTCCAGATAAATTTACCATGACCGAACCATGTAACTCTTTGCTACACCAACCTTGTAACCAGTGTTAATTTTAGGCACAAGCTACAAAGCGTATTATTATATGCCTAGTTGGGGCAAATATCTCAATCTTCCCAAGAATGTCCCCTCCACCACATCAATCTTAACCACAATCAGCTGTAAATAATGTGTGGCGAGCAACTGAGCAGGAATAGCCTGTTCCAAAAAAAGACAGACATCCAAACCCCAGATCCAAGCAAGACCTACTTGTATTGTGGTGTACCTCCATGTGATTGGTGGATGGAGGCTCGGTAGAAATAAATGAATCAGAAGCTTCTCTTAGGTTGTACGACTATCATCCGATTCAGCTGCATTTCACCACGAATGGACTAAAGGCACTTAAGAATTGTGAGGTTCGCATCCCGAGCTTGAGGTCAACTTCTCCACCACCCAGCCAGAAGAAATCCTCATCCAATTTGGTGATAGCTTCATCTATGATAACCTGTGGAGGAAACTTTTTGCATCAGGTACCTTGCTAACTTTGTGAGTTCACTCATAAGGCATAAGACGTGCATTTTAAGCAAGTTACATAAGAATATCCGAAAGCATCAGTTTGAAAAGTTGTTTTCTCCATACTCACAGCTGAGTGCTCAAGCCTTCTAACTATTGGTTATTGATATTATGCATCACTTACTCTTATGTAACTGGAGTGGGACCATCTATCTATTGGCTACTGCTACCATTCATTTACTCTTATGTAATTGGATTGGAATAGGATAGTAGCTGTAGGATTGGAAAAGCTAATGAGATGTTTACTACAGAATGTCATGTATGGATATGCAACATACACAGTTTGTCACACATAAATCTATCAATTTTAATCTAAACCTAATAGCTGTATCTTTGCAATGTACATGCTTCAATAGCTGCAATGTAAATATAAATTTACATTACCGGTATGGTTGTTTCCATCCCAATGCAAGTGACAGCGTTATGCACAAACCCAGTAAGTTTGTGTGACTCCTCTTCTGGTGCCAACCTCACTGCATCAAACAAAAGTAAACAGTAAGGCTGGTTTCAGATGACAGCAATAGTAGGCCTGCAGCCATTCAAATTGCCTTAATTATGGTAAGAGCCACTGCTCATTAGTAGGCACTGAAAATGTTTAAATAGAAAAAGAAGAAGCAGAATTACAATGGCATAATGAAGAAAACAGTTAGCGCCAAGGATTTTTCTTTCAGTGCCTATTACAAAATATGCCATGCACCAATGTTTCAGAAAATCAGTAGTGAACCAGTTACTTGTTCCCCGGCGGCAGGTTTAGGTCAGTTCCTCATAGTACCAACAGCAATAAAGTAAAGGGCACAAGAAATAGCCTGCAATTTGGCCAGGAATAGAGACACACAACGCCTGTTGTGGAAGTTGTAAAAGCTAAAACTTTACTGAAATGTGTTAGTAGCACATTCAACATCTTTTCATTGTCAATGTTATAAGACTCTAAATCCATCAGGAATATCACTGTAATCAGCTCGTTGCAATTTGTACATGATTTTAGTGCATTCATTATTTTTTTATGATGACAATTTCTGTTTATAAGAATTCCCCATATATGAACCAAACAGTTCTACTTAGAGACCATCATCCACATAGAAAAAGTGCTTGCCCTAGCAGCAGTCAGACATAAAAAAAGAGATACACCACCTGAATGCACTGATAAAAAGCCGAGGGAGCATTGTACACATATCCGCTTAACACCCCCCCCCGCCCCGCACGCACACACACACCAAAAAAAAAGGAACTTCAAATACATTGTAAAAGAATCTTACTGTTAAATCTCTTTTTGGGTATTTGCTTCTCATTTAGTTCATACAGGAAGTTCTTGATGTTTTCAGCATTAAGCCGTGCATTATACTACAGGAACATACATTTTGTCAGTATAAATACGAGGTATATAAATTTTAAATGGTACATTGATATCTTAAAGCTTACCTGAACAACAACGACATAATATTTTGAATTCTTTGGATTACTGCAATCAACAACATCTGCAGCAGCTTGGGTGTTCACCTAATAAAAGATGGACAGAATTCATCACAACTAATGTTAAAGATAGATTATTAACAGATTTTGAGGCAGAATCTTCTTAATGAAATGGCGTGCAGCTCTCCTGTGTTGTTCGAGAAAAAAGATTTTGAGGCAGGATCATAAAACTGTAGTTCTATGCTTCAATGATAAGTAAATCAATGCATGTCCTTCCCAAGATAAAACAGTACTCGTTTTGTGTTCAACCACTCCATTAAAGCTGATAAGCAGTGATGCCCCATTGCTTCTCAGATTGCATCTCTGATTCTCAAAGAACTGTAAAATTTAAATAAGCCCAATGCAATTAAAAAAAGCTCCTGTTCCGCAAATACTTTAAGTAGGCGAAAATTCTAAAAGAATCTCATGAAGCACACAAGCATGTTGGTCTGTCCTTAATGTTCAAAGTAGGAAGTTTTTCAACTCAAGCTTTGAGGCGTTTGCAGATAATGGCCTCTATCTCTTATCCATGCCATATAGCAATCAAATGTGATCAACAAATTAGCAAACAGCTACTTGCACCAAAAAACAAGGGAAATAGACTCAGGTAATATCCTATACAGGATATAAGCGTGTTATAGACAGTGCTAGATATTTAGGAGAAAAAAAAACTGCTTCTGATAAACTTAGCGCTGATTATCTCTGATATAAGCTAGAAATGCCATAACAGTTTTTGTTGCAACTTGTCATAGCTCATAACATAGTAGCATATAAAACAACAAACTCTGCTATGCATCAGCCTACATGCAATGAAATCATGAGAAACAGCAGCTATGTACTTATTTTAAATCTTCAACAGGATACCACAGTACTGCTAAATCAAATTACTTGCCAAGTTATAATGCCATGACAACTAGCATAACTCATGATCTTTACTCAGCCACCAACTAACTATAGCAATTGCGCCCATGGTACTATTTATACAGACAAATTCAACACAACTATTTGCAACCTTCAGAGAGTACGCGATTCATTGTTCAATAATCAATAGCAACAATCATCAGTAAATTATCCTACTCAAGCTATCCTATGCGCACAAAAATGGCTATAAAAATACTACATTAACGTAATTGTATTCAACCTAGCAGTTAGGCAGGCCCAGTGCTCGACGAAACAGCCGCGAGGAAATGGAAAGGGGGCGAGCCATACCATGACGATGCTCTTGCAGAGCTGGGCGACTGAGTCGGCTCGGAGCAGGCCGCAGCGCTCCTCGAGGGAGCGGTCGTAGTAGTCGGCGGGAACGCGACGGAAGGCGAAGTCCCGCACGCCGCGCGCGGCCAGGAGGGCCGAGAGCCGCGCCTCGGTGGCCCCCGCGTCGGCCTCGCCGTTCTCCGAGGGCGCGGCGGAGATGGAGAGCGCCCCGAGGCGGTGCTGCTGCGCGGCGAGCTCGAGGTCGGCAATACGGCCGAGGATGCGGAGCTGACGCGCCTCGAGGTCGGCCGCCGCGGCGCACATGGTTGCCGGACCTGGCGTCGTCGGAGGCGAGTCGTCCACTCGTCCCGCTGCGGTACGTAGAAACCGGATGCAGGCCGACCTGCTTCTAAACGGGCTAATGGAGGCTTGATGTCAAACCGGGGCCCGGGCCCAATTAAAGCCATTTTGTGAAAAGGGCCTGATAAAAGACTGGTTGGTCCATGGATTGAGAGTTCAATCAGTAGCTGGTTTTAGTCAGTACCAGTATGTTCTTTTTTTAATCTCATATAAAAAAAAGTATGTTCTTTTTTTGTTCCCTACATCCCAAATCGTAAGACATTCCAATTTTTTGGAGAGTCAAAACATCTCAAGTTTGATCAAATTTATATAATAAAATAATAATATTTATGACACTAAACTATCGTTAAATTTTTTTATTAATTATATTTTCATAGTATACCTATTTGGTGTCATAAATCTTTGTAATTCTCTATATTTTCGGTCTCCTAAAATGTATTTTTGGGTCTCTTGACATATCTTGAGGTGTCATATAGATCCAAAACTCCCAAAATATCATTTTCAGGTCCTAAACATATCATAGTGTGTTATGAAGGTCTTAACGAGCCCCAACTCGCCTACACATCGGTGGTTTGTATGTTCATGGTTATTAATTATGTTACTACACGAAAAATCAACTAAACCAGCCCTTGTGATCAACAGTGGAGCTTGGCTGAACAAACAGGGGGCTAACTAAGCTCTGCCCCTGCTTGTGATGTTAGTAGTATGATATACTCCATCTGTTCTAAAATAAGTATCGTTCTTGCTTTCTGATGAGTCAAATACTTTTACTTTAACCAAATACATAAAAGATACTGATATTTATAGTATATATAGTTAGTATCATTAGATTAGATAGATTGTTAAATCTATCTTTATAATAAGCTATTTGAGATACAAATGTTGATAATATTTTTTACAAATCTAGTTAATCTTAAAAAAGTTTGATTAACATGAATATATACCGAGCAAATTCCTTCGTTGCCACCGAAACATATAACACTCCCTTCATTGCCATTGAAAATTATATGTTCCCTTCACTGCCATCCATTCTAAATTTCTAATTCCTTCACTGCCATTGCAGTCCAACACATAGACTTAGTTCCCTTGATTGCCATTCATACAGATATTTTGTTCCCTCCATTGCCACTAAGGTAACGGAACGGCGTTAGAAGACTCCCTACGTAAGTGCTGTACCAATTTTGCCCTCTTTCTAACAACGAAAACAGAGACCACGAGTGGTCTGCTCCCTCATCCCAAATCTTCTCGAGCTAGAACCCTAGATCCCCGGCTTGGTGAGCCTCGCCTGAACCCACGAGTGGTGAGCCTCGCCTGAACCGGCCCGCCGCGACGCATCGACTTGTACCAGGCTTCGCGACGCGTTGCCCCAAAGCCCGACCTGACCCCGCCACCTCCGACCTGCCAGAAGCGACGTCCGCCTATGACACCGCCCGACGCGACGCCCCGCCTCCAACCCCGCCTCCGACTCCTACTCCACCGTCCCGACGCGACGCCCCGCCTCCGACTCCACCGACGCGACGCTGGACCCGCGCCCACGACGCCGTGCCTCCGACCCTGCCCAAGCCTCACCACCGACCCGCCCCAAGCGACGCCCTGCTCCAGCTGTCACCCGGCCGTCGGGCCTTCCCAGCTGACACCCTGCTCTAACTGTCACCTCGGCCCAGGAACTGACTGGAAGGAACCCCGGGGCGACTCGGCGACGCTGCAGCAGCTCCCACCGGGGGGCGACTCAGCGTTCTCTCCTGCGGCGCCTATCATCTTCAGCCGCCTTCTCGCCGGTAACACACCGCCCTCCTTTTCCTTCCTGTAGTCTCAGTCCTAGGGTTCTTGGGTGTGCGTTCTTGATTCCGCCCTATGGTTCTTGGGGGCGAGGAACCAGCCTGCGGTTGGGTGCGCGTTTTTTATTCAGTCTGGATGCATGCACATCTCCGTCCCCTTGCTGGTCGAATTGTTGGATCAGTTGGCTTGGCTGTATATACTCGCATCGCATGCGTTTGGATTGTACTGTCTGTGAAGTGAAGATTAGTCGACCATAGACGGACGGCAGTAGTTTCTTTGAGCCACTAGCTAGAGGCATGAGTTTTGGTACCGATGAAATGCTGACATCTAGAACATATGTTTGGATTGTATCTGAAGAGTAGTGAAATCATGGGCAAGTAGCATAGAGTGCTGGCCTGAAACTGGAATCATGGAAAGCCATGCCAATCAATCTTTCAATTAGTGCATATTAGTGTTGTTCTGGTTATTGTCCTGCATAAGAGCATATTCTGGTTATTACTGAATATTATTGATATTGATCAACAAATAGCAGTTACTGTTTGCAAGAATATATATTTCTGATCTCTCGGGGTGTAATAATAATATATGAGAAAACTTGTATATTGATAGTTTGATACAATTTCTTTAAATACCCTTTAAAATTCTAGACTTCCATTTTAAAGGTTTGTTACTGGCATCATTCTTACCTGTATCCTTTTTTCAGTGTATCTTTGTCAGTTTTGATGGGCAAACTACTATCCACATTTTTCTCATGGCCATAAAACTGAACTGTAAGCTCGCTAAGTACTGAGATTGTGGCCTGAGAGATAGATCTATCAATATAGTACTTAAATAAAATTTGAAAAATGAGTTTTGTGGCATTTAAAATGTCGAGTAACAAACTTTAGTGCTTCAGCCGTGTTGAAAATATATAAAGTTGGCTTAGAAAATGAATTTTTAGAGCTAAAATAATATATAATGTGGGTAGAAAAATTATGCCTTCAACAAGGTAAGAACGTCGTGAGTGTGTTGGTATTCTTGGTTCGAGTGTTGATGTGATGTTTGTTAGTTTAAAAATTAGTATAAAAAGGAATGAAAGCGGAAAAACCTAGTTTTCAGTTGGGTCGATGAAATAATAGTTTATGTAATTATCTAGTAGGGTTTGAAAACCAATTTTTATTGAGCAAAAATATTATAGAACGTGTGTGTGACACCTAAATAAAGTGTGAAGTACAAATTTTGTAGAAAACAATGCAACTTTTGTTTTAGTAGAATAATACTGTTAGCTAGTGTTTCCAATGGCCTAAAAATGGAACTTGAATTTGAACCCAGCTCAAAGATTTAGAAAATTTTCAAGTTAAAAACAGTTTGACAACACCAAGTTCATGAATTTATTTCATAAAATCTAATTAATGAGTAGTGGCATGTTTTAGCTTTGGTTGATAGTCCAATGCACCTTCTTGAGCGTGGTTTAGATGGTTGAACCCAAAATGAGCTAGATGAGTTTTCGCACGTGCTTTAAATTTCGTGCACGAGCTCGGCCTCGGGCTGTTTGGCCTGTGGGCGCGGTCACCACGCATGGTCTCGGCGTCGCCATGCCAGGCTCGCCCGCGCGGACCGACCTGGCCTGGCTGCGGCTGGTTGCTGTGCCTGTCGCTGGCCGCCTGCCCGGCCAGCCGCTGGCTGCTGCTTCCCATCGCCCAGCCGCTGCCACTCATGCGTCGTCTGCTGCTGCTGTCGCGCACGTTGCGCGCACAGGGCCACGACACCCCACGTGCAACTACTCCTGCCCACGTCCTCTGCTACCGCGTTCGATCGGTGGCCCGACCACAGCGAGGACGGGACGTCTCCCTACCCTGCTCTGCCGCTAGCCGACGCTGGCGACCTCGCTCGGACCCCACTGCTACGATTCAATGCACCGCGCTAAGTCCTTCCCTATTCGCCAGTCGCGCCACGTGTTCGTGGCCGCTGTCAATCGGACCGCTCCGCCTTAACGGCCCAGCTTAGAGCCTTTTAAGTCGTTTATGTCGTCGCTAGTCACCATGACTGTCCCTCGCTCTCCTCCAAATTCGTCGAGCACAACGCATCTCCATCCAATTCCTTTTAGACAGGAGTGCTTTAGGTTCCTAGCTTGCTCATAAACGAGATTGTGGTTGGAATCATCCACCAGAGAGTGCACCCGAAGCATCAACGTCGCCGCTGGCCACCGTGGGCGCCGCACCAAGCTCGGCCATGAACCCCTCCTATCCATTCCTTTTTTCTTTGATCTTCTCGGTGTTATTGCTCCGTGTTGATGCCTTGAACTCACCTGCGAAACAGGTTCGCCGAAGCTCCAATGGTTCACCGAACCGATCTCCTAGCCACCATCATGGACTCACCTATCTGCCTCGCACTTGGCCAGTCTGCCTCGAGCCATTCCTGCCCTAACCAACTCCACAGCGGTGTTCGTGGTGAGTCACTGTTCCTTACCTGACTCCCCGTTTTAACCTCTGACGTAGCCATCTCACCGGAGCGCGCGCGCCATTGCCGCCATCCATGTCTGCACATGGGCAGACATGCCCTACACGCCGTCACGGGCCATCGTGGTCCTACGTGGTCGCGTGAACCCTGCGGTGGCCCTGTGCCCTGGTGGCCACACCTCCACCGCCACCGTGCCCTCCCCGGTCGGTCTTGGCCATCGTCGGATCGTCCCCGCCATGGTGCTCTGCTCTAGTGATGCTCGGGGACTAGGGAATGGTGAAGATAGGAAAATGTAGGGGCTAAATCGCATAGATGGTGAGGCATATACATAGTGTTAATAGTTGGAACACGATTTTAAAATAGAAAAGGGTCCTTTTTGCAAAATGTACAGCGCGCAATTGGGCCTCCCCTCCGGGTTGGCCTGCTCCCGCGCCTGGGCTGGCTGCTCACCGTGTCTGGGCTTGTCCGCGTGGGCCGGCTGCTTCCTGCTGCTGGGCCGCCACCTGCCCGCTTGGGCCGCTCACGCCGCGCCGCGTTGGGCCGCACGTGCGCATGCGGGCCGAGCCTGACCGCTCAGGCCTTGTCTTTTTGTGTTGTTTTTGTTTTGTTAATTCAATGCTCTTCAAAAATTGATAATAAAATGTAGAAAAATCATAAAAATGCTAAACCAATTTTGTTAGCCTCCTAAAATCATGATCTATCTGATAGTGTATTTTGTTCGTATAGGTTTTGTATGTTTTTAGGGTGCTCTAATTATTTTAACATGCTTAATATTGTTAAGACATAAACTTGTAGGAATTTTCGTGATAAATCAATGATAGTGTTGACTTTAAAAATTTTACAGTAAATTACTAATATTATTAACTGCTCACTATAGTTTTTGTAGCTCCAGAATAATTAGTTTAGATAGATAATGATGCCCTATTTTGAATAAAGATTAAATCGATAGAATGGGATAAAGAAACAACTTGGGTTTGTAGAATTAAAACATTTGTTGGGAAATAACGTCTTATTCGACAACATGGATACGTAGCCTAAGTACGTCGTCATTAGAACTAGCTCGTTAGCTTGAGAGGCGTACATCATATTTTACGAGTCACGGTTGCAGTTGATCAATTACGTCTTTACATTGCATCCATGCATATCATAATAGGAACGACGGTGGATCGTGGAATCAACTAGAGTAGCAGAAAAGATGGTGCCCGGAGTCATGTTACAAAGATGGAATGCTAACTTTTGGTTATATTTTACCTAGGCAAGCCCTGGTGCATAACCTCTATTATTCTGCACTTTATATTATGTTTGTGCATTAAGTTTTAAGGAGTTGAATGAAACCCACTTGCATATATATATCCTTATCCTATGAGTCTTACTAGTATGACAGGATTATGTAGATTGTTATGCTACAGGATTTCTGGTAGAAGTCGAGTGATTGCCTGTCACTCGCGAGAGATAGAAAATGTATTATTGTTGTTACTATATTATTATCACTTAGAATATATATATGAATGATAAATGGAGACCGGACAGGGATATGGTTTGGGTATTGGTGGGTGTAAGAGGTTGTATCCTGCGGCCAATGGGGCATAGCTTGGTTACACTGTTTTTCCTGTTTGTGTCGGTTAAGGACTGGCCGTTGCATTGGACTCTAGGCAAGTCACAGACTTATTATCCTGAACACATACTTGTGTATTGGCGTGGGAAGACTTATTACTTTCTTGTCATGGGCTCCAGCTCTTTTCGGACCAACTTTCAGGGTGGTTTTTGGGTGGAGGTCCAAGCACCGCACTGAGTCCGGGACTCAGGGACGGGGGCTTGGAGTCTAAGTTTGGACGGGGACCTAGACCCCATGACAAAAGGGTAGTGGGTTGGTCCTGCTTGTGCCTAGGGTACAAGCGAGGCGTGTGTTTCAGAGTACCCAGCTGGGCACAATGATTCATGAATCGCCGGCGATCCGGTACGACTTATCTACAATCTAGCACCGTAGTAAGAATTGGAAGATGAAATATGGTAAAATAATTCTGATTGCTTACCACCTGCTTGAAAGTAGCATAGGTGCTTATATAGACTGGTTATTTAATAAACTAATGCTGACCGCTAATAAAAATTGAATATAAGGACGCACGTTAGTAATGCTCCTGCGGATGCAATAAACACACAAGCTAGATAGCCTTTCATATCCTTGGAGTCTTTTTTTTCTCCTGTCGGGTAAGTCTTGCTGAGTATAATTGAGTACTCAAGGTTTTATTTATCCCTGTTGCAGGTGACAGGTGGAGGCTAGAGCTGACCCTTGTGTGTGGATTCCTCCTGGTGAGCTCAGAGAGGATTCCTTTACGCTACGATCATAGTTTTTATTTATAACTCTCACTAAATGTTTTTTATAAATGGAAGTTTTATAATCTGTTGTCATAGTTTATATATCAATACTTCATCATGTCATAAATAGATGTTTAATTCCGCTGTAACTCTGTTCACATGTTTATATTCCGCTGTTAAGTTAAATTGTTCATAACTCTGATAACATGATCATATTCCGCTATTATAAACAATAAATATTATACTCTAATGCTGTATGAAAAAGTGATGTAAGAAATAACTAATAATGATGTAAGTTTTATTCTCTCATTTGTGATCCTGATGGAAAAATCTGGATTTTTGGGTTCTCCCATGGGGTGTGCCCGATGGAACTACGTAATTTGGTGTTTTTCCCTGAGTACTTAGTGTCTAATGGAAGACAAGTACTCCTGGGAGACATTAGATTAGGCGGTTCTGCCACATGAACTGTTCAAAGACAAAACATGTATCAGTGGCAATACACAGATACATCATACAAGAAAGGAAGGATAGATGTGATCTATATTAATATAATAGGCTTTTAAAAAATCGGTTGAGTGTCTGATCTCCAACTCTTTCTACACAGAAACTAATGCCTTATTAACTGTGCAACTTTTTACCCAGCTATGATGACATTTTCTCTTTAAAGATAATTGTATTGGTGAGTATCTGTTAATTTATAATTCCCACACAAAAGAGCAAACAGTTGAGACAAATCAACAACTGACGCGACGCCCTCTAGATATGGATTGAGGAGACAAGAGGGATGCATGGGAATGTCGGGGCAAGTCCTCGACACATCTTGGCTTCCTACAAGGTAAGTGCTTTGTATGCTGTTCTTAGTTCTTCACATTTAAGTATAAACGACTACACTTTATTGCGTTTGCATAATTTTGCATTCACAGGATGGACCCTAAGTCCACTTACCTACTGAAAATCAGACTCACTAGAAATCCTAAAAAGCGTAGGAAAGAATTTTCATGCTTTCATATCACCAAGGTTGTCGATTCTGATCTATGCGACTTTAAGGATCTTGTGGAAACAATTGTGGATGCATACCCTCATGGCTACAATGAAATAGTATTTGTTTTTTACTATGATGAGATCCAAAAGAATTTCCCACAAGTCACAACAGATCAGGAGCTTCTTGCAATGTTCAACAAACATGTTGATAGCAAGGAAGTTCGCAAGAGGATTAATTACAGTGAGCCCACGGATGTTGTTTCTATCCCTGAGAGTTATACTCAACAAATGTAGAGGTGCTTGATATCCCAAGCACTCCATCTGTGGCGTGCCCAATTCTAGCTGCAGCAAGCCAGTCCACCATGCCTACAACAAGCAATCCCATTGAGCCCACAACAAGCCAGCCCACTATGCCTACAACAAGCAATCCCACTGAGCCCACAACAAGCCAGCCTAGCACAAATGAGCCTACTGATGATGATGATTACCTAGCAAATCCAAAACCACATAATGAACATGTGGGTGTTGATGAGGAAGGTTTGTACCTAACCTATGGGAAATCTAGAGCTGCTCTTAGCGATAGCAGTGACTCTGACTCTGAATCTGATGAGGAGTACCAGTAAGAGGATGGGCTAGTTGGGCAAGATCCTCTGCCACCTATACCAGTTGTAGTTTATGACAAAGAAGATCCTCCAATGGGTGTAGGCAGCATATATCCCAACATGCGTGAGTTTAGGATTGCACTATCTTAGCATGCTATCAAGCATGAATTTGAGTTTAACATTGAAAAGAGTGACCAGCGAGAGTGAGGGCATATTGTTCAAAGAAGAAAGATGAAGGGTGTAGATGGAGATTACATGCTTCTACAATGAAGGACAACATAACAATAAAATGTAACATTTGAACTGTTGTACACATTTTTTTGCTCTTTATTTTCCAACATTTGATAATCTTGTTTAAATGTATGTAGGTGAGGGCAAACCCACGTCGTCATGACTGTTCTAGTGCAAGAAGGAGCAAGGAAGTTAGGAATGCAAGCAAATTCTAGATACGCGAACAAGTAAATGATTGGCTTATGGAAGATGCAAGCGTAGGAGGTAAAGAATTGCAGAGGCAAATAAAGGACAAGCACAAGGTACATGTCAACTACAAGAGAGTGTATGCTGGTAAGGAGCTAGCCCAAACACAACTATTTGGTAGTTGGGACAGCAGTTTCAATAACCTGTATAGGTTTAAGGCAGAGGTGGAAAGATGCTGCCCTGGCAGTTTTGTAGTAATAGATCATCACAAAATTGCTGAGAAGGTCAGATTTCATAGGATGTTTTTTGTTATGAAACCATGTATCGACAGTTTTCTCAATGGATGCAGACCATACTTGGCCATAGATAGCACATTTCTGACAGAAAAGTTTAGGGGCCAGCTAGCATGCGCAATAGCTGTAGATGAGCATAACTGGATGTATCCGGTTGCTGTTGGAGTGATAGACTTAGAAACTAATGAAAATTGGATATGGTTTTTATAAAGGCTTAGAGATGCCATTAGAGCACCTATAGGCTTAGCTATATGTACAGATGTAGGTCAAGGAGAATGGCAGGAGTGAAAGAAGTATTCCCAGATGCAGAACATAGAGAGTGCATGCTGCATTTGGTGATGAATTTCAAGAAAAGATACAACGGGAAAATATTTGATGATCATCTTTGACCTGCAGCATATTCGTGGAGCCCATACTATTTTGAGAAGCATTAGAAAGCAATGGAGGAAGCTAAACCATCAGCAATGACGTATATAAGGCAGTGGCATACTAAGATATGGACAAGAAGTCAATTTGGGACCCATTGCAAGGTTGACTATGTCACAAACAATTTGACAGAGTGCTTCAACAACTGGATAAAAAAGTTCAAAGGGCTAAATTTGGATGACCTTATGGACAAGATCAGGCAACTTATTATGGATAAGTGGGATGTTAGAAGAACAGTATCAAGAAAGATTGAAGGAATTATTCTGCCACACATCATCAAGAATTTGAAAGAGCAAAGCAGGAACATGGATATGGATGTATAGAGAAGTGGGGATATTCTAGCTGAGGTGTCTGTCAAGAGTGGCAGTGGGTACAAATGTGTTGTCAACCTAGATCAAAGAACCTGTCATTGTAGAAAATGGCAAGTCTCGGGAATTCCTTGCAAACATGCAATTGCATTCATAACATCTCTTCAGGAACCTTTGGAGAAACATGTTGACATGTATTATTCAGTTTAGAAATTTAGAGCAGCATATGGGATTCTTATCCCTGCTATGCCTGACAAATTCCAATGGCCACAATCTGACCATGGTTACTTTATGCATCCACCACTTATAAAATCTACATCTGGTAGAAGGCAGAACAAGAGAGCCAAAGGATGTACAGAGGCCAATGGCAGCACAACAAAGAAGAAAGGGTCACATCAATGCCCCATTTGCAAGGATTATGGACACCGCTGGTATAACTGCAAGGATGGTGACCCTGAGGACATAGCAGCTATGCTAGCTGAGAAGTAAGCATTCTAATCTTTACTTAGTTTGACTTGTTATTAATTTCATATTGCTTCCTTTTGAGATCTCATTGATGTTTATGTTCATGCAGGGGCACACCAAAAAGAAGGAAGAAAACAACTGAATGTGAGAGTAGCATTGTCCCAGCTGACCCAGGACCCAAAACAATGCATTTTCCTCCTAGGTATGTCTCCATATACTTAGAGATCTCAAATTTAAATTCTGATTATTTTTCTAAAAAATGCATTTCATCTTTTGTATTACAGCCAAAGTGCCTCGCTTATCTTAGATTCTAGAAACTCTCTCAAGTATGTGCCCAATATCTAATGTCATTTGTTCTTAATTATAGCATTCTCAATATTATTCTCTAAAAGTGTAAAACTCACTCACATGCAGGTCTGGTAGCGGCTCAAACCAACCTAAGACACTTTCCATTGAGTACCCTTTGTTCACTTTAGGTGAAACCACACCACCAGCTGCCACATCCATGCCTATAGTAGAGAAAAAGGGTAAAAGGAAGGCAAAGTCACAAGGGAAAAAGAAGCAGCAGCAAGTTACAACACCACCATATAGTCTAGCAATGGGGACTAGAAGCAAGAACCCTCTAAGGCAAAGCCCTGCTGCACACACTAGAAGCAAGAGAAAACTTCTAGATTTGAATTTGTAGTTCAAACAACTCATTTGTATGGTCTATAATGTTGTGCAACCCTCTTATTTTGCTTGATATATATATATATATATTTATGGCTGCTTATTTTGCTTAGCAAGTATGAGCCTAGTTGAGAATTGAATGGACAACAATGGCTGCTTGAACCTGTTATTTTGTTTGGTCTGTGATCCAATGAATTGCTAGTTTGGTTGGTAAACATTTGAACTAATGAATATCAATATATTATATGGATGTTGCGAACCATATTAAGTATTCTATGAATATAATATTGTTGTCATATTTCTATGCATGTGTTTAAATATTATCATTTTTATCAGTGCATATTGCTGACAGGTTTCTAATTGATTTGCCTGTGTTCTAAAGTTCAATGGCAATCAAGGGATTGTTATAGAGAAAATTTCTAAGGTGTAACATTGTCTTTCACATGCTATCTAACAACAATCTCCCTGTATTGGACGGCAATGACGCTGAAGGGATTTGAAATTTAGAATAGAGGACACTGAAGGGAATATATAACTTTCAATAACAACGAAGGGAGTGTTATATGTTTCGGTGCCCGTGTTTGTTGTCTGTCTGTCTGATAGTCCCACATGGCATGCATCCTACTGCGCGCGCGCGCCAGTGCATGCGCTGTACGCCGGCGCCCCCTGGTCCCGCTGCCAGGACGAGCTAGAGCCTAGAGGTTGGTGTGGTGTGGTGCGCATGATGGTCGTGTCACGTCGAGCTTGTCGCATGATCGTCGTCGTCATGCCAACACACGTGAACGCTTCTTGCGAGTTCCTCAGCCCGGGTTTTTTTTTTTTTTTTTTTTTTTTTTTGCGAAGGTGTCACTGCCAAGAGTTTAACCGGTTACAACCATGCTAAGTAATCCGGGGATCACCAAGCAAGAAGTGACCTCAACACATAAAATAGACTAAGGCCTAATTTATATGAAAAGTTTGCGACAAGTTCACGATAGCAGCCATAAACACACACAATTGGCGACGAGCAAAGGGAGGCCGTTGAGGTCACAAGCATCCTCGAGCACGCCCTCGACCTCTCTCAGGTCGACTTTGAACAGCGCCCATAGTGCTTGCCTCTTGGACGAGTCAAGCGGCTCCTGGAATGCCTCTTGAACAGAGCCCAGCGTTCTCTATGTATAAGTGCACATTTTACGGTTAATTTGTTCGTTCATCAAATTACTGGCATGTCAATCGACGGATGTTTTCGCTACATGGCGCCATACAATAGTCGAGCCTTTCAGCCGGCAAATACGTATGGGCAATGCCCCATGCATCTATAAAATCGGTCAAACTCGAAGACGCTTGATGACTTGGTATTACATTTTGGAACTTGGAGAGGTATGTACTACATTGCTGCATGCATAGCTAATTTGAACTTTAATTATTGGCATACATATGGTCTCTCACCGTCTAATAAGTTATAAGTTAACATGGATATCTATGTCGTGTGCTCAAAATTACCTTTATCATTGTAAGATATTTTATTTTAATAGGGACTAAGAAAAAAATTGACACACAGGACGGGAGAATATGACATGCATATTCTTTTTTTTTCTGTTTTATGAGGTATGACGCTGATTAAGGCTGAAAAATGGAGCCTCCGTCAAATTACAAGAGGGGTACTGAATGTGATGATTGATAATAAGAAGAAAATGTTTTATAGATGAAGGACATTATTACAACACGAATATCTGATGGCGGTACTACCAATAATAACTGGTCATAGTATCAATTGGCTCTGTTCGGCTGCTCATAAAGCCGCTTATGCTGATTTATACGGCTGATTTGTTGGGAAAGAAAAATATTATACCATGACTTATAAGCTGGATTATAAGCCGGCTTATAATGGCAGCTGAACACTCCCTTAATCAATCCTCGACTTCTAAAGCAGACATTAAGAGCATGTTTAGAACGCGAAAAAAATTCTAGTTCTTACGCTTTGGCTATGTATATAAAATTAAATTGATTTCTGTAAAATTTTTGCATTATTCTTGTAAATTTATGCTTTTCAAACAAACTCTAATGTCCCGTTTGGCACGGCTTCTCCGCCGACTTCAGGAGCTGTTTTCTGCCAAACACGGTAAAATATAACGGCTTCACCTAGTAAGCCATTTAAATCGTGCTCTCACAGAGTTTGAGGTATGATGGAGCAAAAAATAGTGGCTTCATCTAACTTCACCTCGTCCTAGTGGACCCTGCATGGGGGTCTATTAGAGCATGTTTTAAGAAACTATACATGCGAACCTGTTTTGCCAAACGGTTTACCAAAACAGCTTCAACTCCACTGATAGAGCTGTTCATGGAGCCAAAGCCCCCCCCCAAAAACAGCTTCACCGGTGAAGCGAAGCCATGTCAAACATGCCTAAATATTAAAGTAATTAAAAACAAGGTCATACAGTTCCTTGGACTCGAGGGTTACAAGCAGTAACGGACAATGTATATATAGGAAACATACACCAATAGCACTGCATGCAGTTCCTAGCTAGCCTAGACCTTGGAGAATAATAGGCACGCTTCTCTTAAAAAAAAACAAGCACGCATGATCAATCAATACCAAAAAAGGAGATACGGAATAGTAAAACACACATTTGACTCACACTTGATTGTCTAGAGTAGTTCTACATTCAGAACCAACATGACAAAAGCAAAGCAGACAAAAAAAAAAGGTAGGAGAAAGCCAATGCACTGCATGCATGCGAAGTACGTTATCACGCGCAGCTATCAGGCGCATATGAAGCCACTGGGGAGGTTCTTGCCACAGTAGTTGACAATGAGGCTGAGCTTGACAGGGATGTCGACGGTGATGCCGAGCACGTTGGCCTTGATGGCGGTGCAGAGGCAGACGGCGGCCTCCAGGTCCGCGAGGCCGCCGAGGATGCTGCAGCACGGCTCGGCGGGCGGGTGGCCGACCTCGGCACTGACGAGGCCCAGCACGTTGGCGCACGCCGCGAGCTTGAGCGCGTGCTTGGGGCACTTGCCGCCGGATGAAGGTGACGGCGGCGTCGGAGTGGGTGGCGTTGGCGTCGGACAGCCGCCGCCGCAGGCGTTAGCCACCGCGAAGAGGACCAGGATGAGGGCCACGAGAAACAAGGCCTTGGACGATGCCATGGCGGCTGAAAAACCCAACAGCTAGCGCAGGGATGCTTGTGCACTGGTGGGCTAGGGCTAGGAGCCAGGAGGAGTGCTGGTGCAACTGGATTGTTATAAGCTCAGGGAGGAGGGTATTTATAGGGAAGAATTGAACCAGAGGTTGGGAAAAATCCTATTTACTCATTGTAACTATACCACTTTCCTGTACTTATAGAACAATATATATACCCCAAACAAAAGTACAACACACTACAACGACGTGTGTCTCTTACGGCCTATTTGTTTCCGTAAATTGAATCTTTTTTCAAGAATCAAGAATTATTCCCTTTGTCCTTTTTTATCTATTGATCTCACTTCTTGAGAAGTCAAACGAACTCAACTTTAACCAAATATATACAAGAAAATATTAAGTTTACGGTGCATAATAATTAGTATCATTGGATAGATCGTTGAATCTATTTTTATAATTTCCTTCAAAAAATCTATTTTTATAATAAAGTTATTTGAAGATATAAATGTTGCTAATATTTTGTATAAACCTAATCAAAGTTGAGAAAGTTTGACCCTCACGTTTCCATAGCGACAAATAATATAAAGGGACAGAGGGAGTAAATTCTACTTCAAATCTTAATTAAAGTGTTGTTACCAGCGAGAGTTTGGCTGCGAGAGATGAGCGAAGGAGATTGGGCCACGTGGGTGGCGATGAGTCTCATCACTTTTGGTTTCTTATTATTACTTCTCTTTCCATTTCTTACCCTCTAAATTTGACACAACTCATAAGTTGTGGAATATCAAAAAGCCTAGTTCATGAAGTAGATTCCAATTCAGATCAAATGAAAGGATTCAAACAAGCCCAATGATTTAGAATTATGCTCATATACGCACATGTTTGCAGATTTCTAGTTAGGTTTCGTTGCCGTTTTGGCAATAGAAGTAATTTAGTTTGACCTGAAAGAAAATTTATATACTACATATTGAGTTGCATGCACCAATCAGTTCAACCCAAAAGTTTAACCTAATGTGCAGAGGTGGGTAATTCAATTATACTACTCCAACACTCCCCCTCATATGGAGGCTCCCTTAGGCCTTAGACGTGGAATAGGAGCAAGCAACCATTATTATTTTATTTAATTGCGTTAATCAGGATTCGAACTCAAGACCTCTACCATATTGAGCACCGACCAATTCAACCTAAAAGATTAAACTAATGGGAAGAGTTGGGCAATATTCACTCCAACACGACAAAATGTACAGCAACAGTAGCAGCCTGACAGCACGTAACCAATGCAACATGCAAACGCAGCAGGGACAGCAGGTAAACAATGCAACTTGCAAACGCAGGGGCACCCCATGCATGTGGTGTGGAGATAATAAGCTGGTCGTTCATGGGTATTGGACGGCCGTGAAACGTTGTGTTTTGGATGTGGCAAGAAGCCAGAATGGCAGTCACAAGGCTCCAATAGGCCTCGGCGGCTTGCGCAGCTCGTGGGCCGCCCCGGCTGTGCTGCCAAAGCGGCAATGGGCCACATCTCCCCAGTCCCCATGCCCCGCTGTGCGCCCCTGACCCGGCAGAACCAGGAGGCATCAACGTCGCCACCTCGCATCACTTTCGTCAGAGATGGATCTATGAACGCGGTGGCTGGTGGCTGGTGGCTGGCGCGGCGGCTGCAAGCTCTGCCTCCGCGTGATTCTCACTGCTAGCTCATGACACTGGACTACTGGAGTGTGGGAGGAGAGATCGAGACGTACGATCATGGACCAAGCGCGCGACGACCACGGACCAACCATGCTAGCTGCGCATGTAGGCTCACCAGTACACAACACCTCATCAACGTTAGCTTTTGACTCTTATCGTGTCGATTTATTTTCGAAATAAGTACCCCCTCCGTCCCAAAATAAGTGACGTTTTTTTTACTTTCAGACATCTTATTTGACCATTCGTTTTATTCAAATTTTGTGTGTAAATTATCAAATAAATAAATCATTATTAAAGTATCTCTAATGATAAAATAATTCATAACAAAATAGATAGTATTTGTATAAAAAATTTAAATAAGACGAACGGTCAAACAAGATGTCTAAAAGTAAAAAAAACATCACTTATTTTGAGATGGAGGGATCAGTAGTATTAGAGCAACGACGTGGATACTCACACGGATATGGTTGCTGGATGCACAGCCGGCATGAAAACGCTGTCTGTGCTGGCTCACAGTACAAGCCGGCATGGGATAGTCAAATAAAAAGTTAGTAAAAATACAGCAAAACAAAAAAAGAACTCAAGGCTTTTCATGTGTTTCTCTCGATTTTGCGGTTTCCACACTTGAAGCCACGACGACCTCTTGTACAATCCTTTTTTAACGATCTCTTGCACAATCCCTTTTTAACATCATCCCACGCATGCTGGAGTTTTATTCATCGTTACCCTTGTTATCTAAACATCTGGTTCATTAATTATTTGGAATCCTAAATGGCTTAAAATAAAAATATCGACTAAATTTGTAAACCTCATTGGAACCTACAATTGTCATGTAAAGAAACTAACTAAAACTCTGGCTACAAGCTACATGTTTTTTTGAATGCGGTGCAATCCATTCATGAGTACCATACATAACACCACCCAGAGAGAGACCTAATGACCAATATTCCAAAGGAAACCGCCACCAACATCACGAGGCCAACATGGACATGAATTGAAACCCACAACCATTGACACCGCCGAGAGAAAACCACCAAGCGTGATGACAAGGGACCAAAAATGTGAGACCTACCGCCACCGCACCATTGAAGCAAATGACAACCTGAAAACTTTATTATAACAAAACCGTAAAAACCAACTCCATTTGTTCCAAAGTTTGTAGGTCATTTTAGTTTCGTCCTAAATCAAATTTCTCTAACTTTGACAAAATTTATAGACAAATAGATCAACACTTATAATACCAATAATTGAATTGCAATACATGTTTCAAGGTTAATTTAATAAAATTAATTTGATGCCCTATATGTTCATCTATTTTCTAATAAAATTGGTTAAAGTTGAACTAGTTTGACTTAGAACAAAGCTAGAATGACCTATAGTTTAGAACAATGGGAGCAATATATATCTACTACCACTAACAATCCCTTGCTAGAGAAAGAGAGGGAGGTGGACCACAACTATGAGAATTGCCTTCACCACTAACATCGAGCCAAAGGACAAGCTAAAGGGTTCAATTAACTTATACCATAAAAACCTACCCCTTCCTCCAAAACTATAGATCCTTTTAGTTTTATTCTAGATCAAAGTTTCTCTAATTTAACCAAATTTATTGAGAAATATATTAATATTTGTAATATCAAACAAATGTATTATTGATATGTAATGTTGATTTAATAAAACTAATTTATTGTGCTAGGTCTTCATCCATTTTTTTCATTTAACTTAGTTAAAATTAAACTAGTTTGACTTAGAACAAAATTAGAATTATCTATGTCATGGTTAACAACAAGTTAGGCCCTTACTTTGAAACAAAGAAAGGGCTTCAACAAGGCGATCCTCTATTCTCCATTCTATTTAACATAGTAGTGGATATGTTGGCAATCATCATTGCTAGAGCCAAAGAGGATGGGTGATTTAAAGGAGCAACACCTCAGTTGGTTGAGGATGGTTTACCTATCTTACAACATGCATACATCACTATGTTGTTTTTAGACCATGATATTGAACAAACAAAAAAACATGAAGTTGCATCTATGTAGTTTTCAGCAGCAATGAGGTTGGAAAATCAATTTCCATAATAGTGAGATCTTCTATTTCGTTGATGCAAAAAATGTGAAGATCTGTATTCACATATATTTGGTTGCAAGTTATGCACTTACCCTTTTTCACATGGTGCTCACCAGATGATCTATCACAAGTTAAGTCACAAAGGCTAGAATAAAGAATAGGAAAAAAAACACTTAGCGGTTGGAAAAGAAAATACTCTCTCCATTCTAAATTATAAGTCACTTTGATTTTTTTTGTACTTCCATTTTTTTTATGCATCTAGATATAATAACATGTCTAGATACATAGCAAAATGATGAACAAAAAAGTCAAAGCGACTTATAATTTAGAACGGAGAGAATATCTATCTGTTGAACGAGTTTATAGTTTTGATTAATTCAATTCTGCCAAGTTTACCTATGTTTAACTAAGAACAATTAATTTAGAAGAAAACGAAATGGAGTACAAGAGAGATGGACCAAAAAGAAACCGGCTGCGGTGGCACTAGCCAGGGTCAATAATATATAGGGCCTGCTGGCAGCACTAGGCCGAGATGTGGACGAGTTGTCCACCGGAACATTTTATTTTGATATGTGCCATTAACGGGTTGATTTAGCCCCTTCCATCAATTGAATGTTTTTATACATTTACACCATCTTATAGCTATATTTACACCGTCTTATTACTATATTTACAATGATTTATTCAATATAATTTATTAGATAGAGTGGTGTAATTTGGGGATAACACAGGACCTTAGACAAGTATATGCCAAATTTTCAAAAAAAAATTACAAACTTTTTCTATGGATTTCAAATACCAGAGAAATATATATCAAATTGTTCACAAATATCATGAAATTGTTCATAAACTTATAAATTTACAAATAGAATAATAGAAGCAGAGATCAGAACTGGTAGCTCAAACCCCATTGGCCATGCAATGTAAGTAGTACGTCTAGAGACGACGATGAGTCACGCCTATGTTACATACGGTACGGAGACCATTTTCTTTCACCGTCATTTCATACGTACTCCATAACTGTAGCTCATCTATGCCTAGCTTGCTTTTGTTTACCTTGACATGACATGCCTAGCTAGCTCTACTGCCTCCTCGAAGGCACGCATGAGAGAGGCTCTGGCGTGTAGCTGTCCTGAGCTCTCTCTCTCTCAGGCTCTCGGGTCTCAGCCAGTTGGAGGAGGACACAGGACAGAGGCAAAGATACGCCAGGAGGTACTCATCCACTGCACGGCTGGACACTATTCCGGGCTATATA